TTCACAATCGGTTCCTGATTGGTTCGCTCATTGCCAGAGATCCCTGTTGCTGATCTTTTCTGGCCATCTGATCTTGAGTATTGAGCGGAGACAGCTGTTAATGAAGGTTTGAAGTTTGTTTGAGATGCTCTTTATGACTCGCCAAGTGTCTGATCCGTATTGTAGCACTGACTTCACATTGGAGTTGAAAATCAGGATCTTATTTTTGATGCTGAGTGCTGCTGACTTCCACACAGATTTGAGAGTAATGAAAGCTTGTCTTGCTTTTCCGATTCTGGCTTTGATATCCTCATCAGTTCCGCCTGTAGTTGAGACGATGCTTCCCAGGTAGGTGAAGGAGGTTGTTTCTTTCAGGTTCCTCCCATTTATGCTGATTGTTGTCTGTTGTTGTTGTTGTTGCTGTTGATGTTGGCTAGGAATCTTCATCACCTCTGTTTTATCTATGTTCACGTGAAGTCCTATCTTTGATGCTTCTTCTGCCAACTTGTTACTTTTCACTTGCATATCTTCCAGTTTATGGGAAATCAGACATATATCATCGGCGAAATCTAGATCCTCCAAGTCTTTTGTGTCAGTCCATTTTATGCCTGTTCCCTCGTTGGTTGCCGTTGTCTGTCGCATTATCCAATCAATTGCAATCAGGAAGATCATTGGTGATAATAGACAGCCTTGCCTCACTCCCATCCTCACTTCGAAGGCCTCCGTAAGTTTCCCGTTGTGGATTACTTGGCATACAGCATTGTCGTATAACTGTTGGATGAGATGTATAATTGTCGATGGGACTCCGTAGTAGCGAAGTAGTTGCCAAATCACCTCTCGATCGACGCTGTCGAAGGCCTTTTCAAAGTCGATGAAGTTGAGTGAGGTGGAGAGGTGACTGCCATTCCAAGCTTTGTTCAACGATGATCCGTAGAGTGGCGATTTGACCAATACCGAGTATAACTCCAACCAATACAATCCGCTCTCTTTTCCCCTACTCTCAATCTATCCACACAGTCAACTGCAGTTATCCAGCTGCTGTCATGTGTCGCTCAAAGGATATGCGCGTGACTATCACATTCCTTAAGGTTAATACCATTTTTTGTTTGATGACTTACTCGGCAATTTTTATTTCCACAAAGCGAAACTACGTTGATTCTCCCACTCGGCGATGTATATAATTCCGAGTTGCCTAACCTGTCCTATCTCCGTGCTAAGAGTACCGATGCTTCACTTTCATATCTCCATTCGATAATGTGGGTCTTTTTAAAACCCTTCCACATTTTCCCTTATTCAGTGATAACTACCTAATTTCGGGACGTGTATTAAGAAGCAAAAAGGATAACTAACAATCCAGTCGTTTGAGAAATTGAAAAACAATTATTGATGTACCTGAAGCTTTCAAAAGAAGGTCGATAGGTCATACAGCTAATATAGTTTTATGTATTACTCCATTTGCATTTTGTATCGGTGATTAGGCGTGGCCGGTTCCTGGGGAATCGGCCAACTAGTTCGTAGGATAACTCCTCAACCGATAGCCAATATCAAGTCAACTACCCCCCAATACGGGGAAGTGGTGAGACTGACTACCAGTTGCCTGTACAGTAATGTGAGAGGGCTAAGAGGCAAAATAGCTGAACTTAGACACCTACAATCACAACTGAACTCCAAAATCATAATACTGACGGAAACCTGGCTAACCCCTACGGTGGCAGACAGCGAAGTCAGTATAAATGATATGGTCCTAGTCAGGCGAGATAGGGACCTGAAAGAAGGAGGTGGAGTCGCCATATACGTCGACAAACAGCTCAGATGTGTTCACGCGATGGACCCTCCCCTCACAGAGCTCCCTGACTCCATATGGTGCCACTTCACCGTTGGGTACTGCAAATATCTAGTGGGCAGCATTTATCGATCACCTTCATGTGGAGCAGACCACAACCAGGTACTGCTAAATACAATCTCAGCAACTCAAGACATGGGTTATGATCAAATTGTCATAGCTGGTGACTTCAATGCCCCATCTCTTAACTTGGTGTCGGGAAAAGCCCATGATAGATTTGATCGAAATCTGCTGCATACCATCAGGAAGGCTGGATTCACTGAAAATGTCAAGATGGATACTAGATGGGGCCCTGATGGGAAGTCTTCTAGACTGGATTACGTGCTCACTAGTGACCAGCTACTAGTGGAAAACGTTCAGATCACGACTCCCATAGGTAGTAGTGACCACGCGGTCATAGTATTCGACATAGTCCTCCGCGAGCGCTTACAGTGGGACAATACACAGCCCTATCTGTGTTATAACAAAGCCAACTACACCAAAATGCGAAGACTTCTGTCTGAAGCAAATTGGCCTAAAAAATGGACAGAGCTAACAGTAGAAGAACACTGGAGAGTGGTAAAGGAGATCATTCACCAGGCGGTCTCAGACACTGTTCCTTTAGTCTCACCAAAAGCTAGGAAGCAACGATCATGGCTAAAAAGGGGGACACAACGCCTTCTGCAGGCGAAGCGAAAAGCCTGGTTTGCGTGGCGACGATCGAAGAGTCAACCCGAACATGAAGTGTACCTTGAACTCAGGAATCGATGTAACATACGAGTCCGGAGCGATAGAAGGACATTTCAGGGAAACCTCGCCAATAAGCTTCTCGTGAACCCCAAAAGCCTATACAGGTTTATGTCCGAAAGAAAACCGACCAACCAGGGAGCATGCAATCTAGTGGGTTCTGATGGGAAATCTCTTACTAGTCTTGAAATGGCAGAGACATTCAGCCTAGCCTTTCACAGGCAACTAAACAGTAACGAGGATATTACCCCCACAGAACATCCAGATTACATCGCAAAACCAACACGCGAAAACCTGCTGGGTACATTTCAAATTACCCCGGCTATGGTACTTGCAAAATTGGGAAGGTTGGCTTCGGGAAAGTCTTCAGGTTGTGATGACATCAGACCATCTGTCCTGAAGCAGTGTTCAGAAAGTCTCTGCCAACCCCTAAGTGATCTGTTCCAACACTCCCTTGATGTAGGGAAACTTCCATGTGAATGGAAACGAGCAATCCTATCCCCTATCTTCAAGGGTGGTGACCGGCAGAATGTGACCAGTTACAGACCAGTTGCTCTACTTCCAGTGATATCGAAGATATTGGAAAGTCTCATTGACGACCACATGAGAAAATACTTCGATGGGACTAACCTTCTTCACGAAGCACAGCACGGTTTCAGGAGGGGAAGATCCTGCGTGACGAATCTTCTACTAGCTTGGAACGATTGGACACTATCCTGGGACAAAAAGGTACCAGCCCACGTGATCTTTCTCGACTTTGCGAAAGCATTCGACACAGTTCACCATGGTCTGCTCCTTCACAAAATAAGCAAGGCGGGTGTTTCTGGAGCACTTCTCGCATGGCTGAAAGATTACTTAGGCGAGAGAGAATTCTGCACCAAAGTCAACCGCATCCGATCATCCTGGCACACCTCGGCATCAGGGGTTCCTCAGGGTTCTATCCTAGGGCCGTTGATGTTTTTGATTTTTATCAACGACCTGCCCTCCCAACTAAACTGCTCTGCGCTTCTTTACGCTGACGACGTAAAGATTTGGAGAGCAATAAACTCATCGGAAGACTCAGATAGATTGCAGGCTGACCTGCAAACTCTGGGAAACTGGGCTCTGGCTAACGGAATGCCTTTCAACCTAAAGAAGTGCAAAGTAGTGCAACTTCATTCCGGCAGGTCACAGAGTGTAAATTACACCCTTGGTGGCCAGAACTTGAGTTGTGTTCCATCAGAGCGTGATCTAGGTCTTATTCTAACAGAAAAGCTAGACACCAGTGGAAATTACTCGAGGGACGTCGCCAAAGCCTACGCAACTTTACACTTTATGCATAGGCAGCTGGGAGCTCTCACTCCCGAACTGTTCTTAAGGTTATATAAGGCATATGTGAGGCCACACCTTGAGGTGCATAATATCATTGCACCTCCGCTACTCAAAAGGGATGCTAACATTCTAGAAAGTGTCCAGAGACGAGCGACAAAATGGGTGATCGGCCTCCGCAACAAATCATATGAGGAAAGACTAAAGAAATTAGGTCTTTTCACACTTAGTTACCGTAGGCACAGGGGAGACCTCATCACCGTCTACAAGATCCTAAATGACCAGGCCCACCCAAATAAAAGCATCCTGCCATTAAGTGATTATAGGCTTCCACGAGGTAACCCGCTAAGGATAGCACACCAGAGACCAAAGACTCGAGTGCGATCACATTTCTTTTCGCTTCGTGTTTGCCGTCTCTGGAACGCTTTACCGGCGGCCGTGACTACAGCGCCATCTCTGGAGATTTTTAAGCGGAAGCTAGACAATCATGCAGAAATGCAAGGTTTGTGTCTCAATGGCTTATCCTCATAAAACTTAAAACCACACTGTCAATGGATAAGCGTACAAACTAAATCCCCACGACCTATTCTGCCTTCTCTCACTCTATCTTTTCCTTAGGTCACCTTTATTATTCCACTTATCTCAACCTATATTATCTACACTACAACCTATTATTATTATTACTATTCTGCTTTTATGACTACACCGAATGACCAACGGGAGTTAGGTCAAACTCCATTCACGGCAGCAATACAGTCCTAACATACTGCATACTACAAACCACATCTCGACCAATCCCCGCACCACTCCTCTTGGAGTCTACCAGAGCTAAAGCAGTCGAGTGGCGGGACTTACTACGCAGAAGCTCACCGAAGATCTGGAACCTCTACCTCACAATCAAGAAGCGAGCTCAAAGAAATCACTGGTTTATACTAGCTCGTAATCAGGATATTGGATACGCTCTCGTCTCATCGTCAACTACAGACCAATAGTTTTAAAGCATTCTACTTTTAACTCCCGTAATTTTTATGGTTAATTCCAAATATACAACATAAGTTTATTACCGTGAACGAATACCAAAAATCTTACATTAGTAGACGAGAAATGTTTGTTTAAGCTGATCAGGAAAATATATCTATGACAACAGAGATAATACTTATGAAAGAATTAAAATAACAGGTGTGTATAGTGTTAAGCCAGTGTGGGTTCAGATTCCTAAAATCAATGATTTTTCCACAAGTTTTTAACGGTTTATTCGTTAACTTGACGTATACATTTTGACAGTTGATCTCTGCTCCACTTAAAAACATTCCCAGTCGGTTACTTTTTTTTTCGACCTGGGATATGTGGGTAAAAACGTGGGCAGTTTTCCGTTGAAATGTGGGCAAAGTGGGATAAAGTGGGCTGTAACATGGGTAAAGTGGGAAAACGGGGTAAAAGTGTTGAATTGTTCGTTGAAAACGTGGGAAAACTGGGTAAAAGTGGGTACATTTGTTATTCCGGCACATGGGATAAGTGGGTAAAAACGTGGGTCAAGTGGGAAAACTGGGAAAAAGTGGGACAAAACATTTTTCACTGACATGGGAAAACGGGGAAAAAGTGGGAAATGTGGCCAAAGTGGGTAAAATCGGTTGCATTTACACCATCTTTTGCCCACGTATTTGCCAATCTAAATTACCCTTTTTTCCCACGTTTGCCCACGTTTGCCCATGTGAATTAACCGACTGGGTTAGGAGCGTTGAATGTCAACTTCGTAATTTTAGTCCTGTTTTCTGATCAGAGTGAGGATTCTGTCTGTTACTGAGAGTTAATGATTACTGCTTTTGTGAACAACGTCACTGTTCTTTTTTCGCCAACGCATTTTACCAGAGTTTCATGCAGATGTATATAAGATCTGATGTACTGATGTTCTAGCTTTGTCCACTTCAACAGCTAGTAGAACAGCAGAAAACTGCATCAGTTCAAGTTGTACCAAATATTGAAATGAAAAGTATACAGAGAGATGTGACAAAATGGATAAACTAGCTAGCAACATGCTTGTTGCACAAAATTTATGTATGCAAATCAAGTGATCCTAGCTAGAATTGACTTTAGACGCACTGAAGACTTCGGATGACTGTCTCGAGGAAAATGCCAGCTATTTTATCAATTTTGTCACACCTGTCTGTATACTTTTCATTTAACTATGTAATACAACTTGAACTGATGCAGTTTTCTGCTGTTCTACTAGCTGTTGAAGTGGACAAAGCTAGAACTGCGCAAAGGAGCGAGTATTTCTCTAAGCATACTGCATGAAAATCAAATAAGTGTGATTTTACATAGGATTAATTAATCGAGTTTTTGACCACTGGATTTTGAGTGCATAATTGCATTTTCGAAGAATCCTGAAAGTTTGGAAGGTATAGCATGGCACTAAGAAGCAAAAGGTTTCATGAATCTTTTGAACTGTGCATATTAAATGAATGAATCTGTCACAAAATAAAAATTGGGCCGTAATTTCAGTTCATGAAATGTCCGAAAAATATCCCCTTAAATCTTTTATATCCCAAGGATTTCAACATTTCATGTTAACTTTCATTGATATAAGTATAAAACTTGGACACTGTGGCGAAGTATAACTCCATTTTGCATCAGATTTCATTTTGTTAAATCACACAGTGTTACACAGTAATATTAACTGATGACTTTTGGAGCACAAATTATGGGCAATAAATTGTGCCGTACACCAGCTGCGTTTTGAACAGCTGTATGAAAGAAATTGAGACTAGCTTCTTTGAAAAAATAAACATATTCAGTCGAATACGCAATGTAATTTTCCGATGAAATCTCTGGAAACAAGGCTAAGTGGTATTTTTGGTAATCGGACCGGGCTGCTACTTCAAATGCATTCTCATAAGTATTAAGGATACCAAATTGTCACCAAATGCCTGACGTTTGGATATTCAATCCACTGGATTATTCGAAGATATTCTGAGACGTTTGTTCATCACAAACAAGTACCATGTAGTGAGAATGATATTAAAAATGTACTGATCTTTTCAATAAAATTTAATTTCTTGTTTACAAGCGTGTGAGGACTTTTCTATTAGTAAAAGTGTAAGACTTTGATCCTGTAATAGTATGTAATTCTACATTGGTTTGTTTATTAGGTATACCACACAGTGAAGCACTTGTTATTCAGCGATTGACGTTCTGAACTCACGATTGTATGAAATGTAAATAAACAACTTGGAAACTCGATTTCTGTGGTTCACTTTCTTCCTCCAACCATCTGTTTTGAGGATAGTAGAATTCCCCAAATGTCCAGGACAGATATTGGTCCATTCTGATTGCATATATTCTCATTCGCTTTGAAATGTAAATTTTTACTTATCAACCTACTCTCCCACTTTGTTATATTAGTTTTTGAGCCAATCCTCCCGTCTCATCCTATGGTGTGGTTGTGTGTAACTGCATGTATTGCCATAAATGAGCCTTTATTTTTGGAGTCAGTACGTGGATGATACATTTTTGATTGTGAAAAATGAGGATGAGGCAAAGAACATTCTGGATAAATTTAACGAGGCTCATCTTGCAATAAATTTCACTACTGAGAAAAGAAAAGACTCTAGTATTTCATTTCTAGACGTCCTTATAACCGGAAAAGAGGTTGGCACAATAAATAGAAGCGTATTTAGAAAGCCTACATCAACGGGTCAGTATGCTCATTTTTTCAGCTTCATGCCCTAAAGAAATACAAATGCAATCTGATAAAGTGCTTGGCTCACAAAGCAAGCGCAATCTGCTCAGAGAAATGTCCTGATGAGCCACTTAATAACATCAAACAGTTTCTAAGAGTAAACGGTTATCCAGAAAAGTTTATTAGTAAGAATATGAATCTAAAATCAAAGCAGCCCATGGTACCAACAGTTCCTAAAAAGGTCTTATTCTTACAAATTCAGCTCCTTGGGGACACCATCGGTGAGATAATAACACAGCGCCTAAGAAACGCAGTGAAAAGAGCATTCCCAGCTGCCGAATTACGCTGTGTCTTCAAAACCACTCCTCTTTTGCGTTCGAGAGCAAACAATAAACTGCCTAATTTCGCCTCTTCCATGTGTATCTACCAATTTGACTGCTCCTTTGGAGCCAGTTATTTAGGCCGTACAAGTAGCCGTGTTTCTCGTTGAATTTCCGAACATCACCCTGTGTGGTTAAGCAAAGGAAAAACAAAATCTATTCGTAGCACTACTCTATCTTATCTTGTGGATACAGAACACAAGATTGATGTTAACAAGGCGGCTTTCAAAGTTATTTACTGCACACCAACTTATCTCAACTTTACCTTAAGATTTCGTCTACTACATATTTTTGAGGCCGTTGGGATCCACATTAAGAAGCCTAATTTATGCATTCAAAAGAAGCTAGGTCAGACATTGTCATTACCTTGGCCATCTAGGTTTGAATGATCCTCAATTTTTGTGGAAATTTCCCTAATTTTAGTTGATATTCTATTTGCCACTATATCTTTATTATTATTACAATTTATGCATCTTTAATGAGCTATAATTCCATTGGTTTAACTTTACAAATCTATGTTATTTAAAAAACATATTGTTTCTGACTACTAATCTAGAATATTCTATGTATATAAGCATATATATGTGTAATTGTAGAGCCAGAAGAGGAATTTATCAAAAAGGATATTCTTTGCTCAATTATTTTGTGTTTTATAGATGTATGAATGAATACTTTTGCCATATTGAAATCCGAAGTTCGCCAAGTCTTTGTATTTCACCAATCTAACTGACTCCGGCCCACTACTCTGAAATATATATTCCACCTTACAGTCATTGCAGGATATTCCGTAGACTAAATTATCTCGTTTAATGAATTCCGTAGGATCTTGTTACCAAAATAATTCGTTCCTAAGTCATTCAGTATGTTCGAATTCAACTCTTATTCGTCTTGCTAGGAATCCCATGCGAGGTCTCAAGATTTCATATCTCTGTAGTAATACTATTGGTGTCTGCCATTCATGTCGCCCTTTATTATTATTATAATTTGCTATATGCATCCTGTTTAACTTATCGGAGTAGTTATTTAGCTCCAAAGCTTCTTTTTCACATACCACTTTATTTTCAATAGTCATCTCCAAAATACTGTCGAAGAGAACTACCTGTATTCTCGGCATCTTGGAATTCGACACCAAGTCAAAGATTCTGTTATCCATTTGAAGGACTTCATTGTCAAAATTTTGTTATAACATTGTATAGTCTTCAGGGGAAATGTTTTATTCTTGCTAAAAACGTGGAAGTTAAGGAGTGTAAAATAATATCTTAAAAGTGAATAGCACCATTACCAAACTTAAGATGCAAGGCTTTCGGATCACTTTAATTACACGTTGGCTTGATCTACCCTAGAAAACTCACCTTGGAAGTGAACATTGTGAACTGAGGTTCTCACATCTACACTGCTTTTACGTAGGTAAGACAGATCAATTTTAGCAAGAAACGAAGTGATTTGTGAATATGGTTGTTAAAAATCACACAGAAATCTTCAGGCAGATTGTGTACATGTCTAGGCTGACTGAAATGGCCGCACTACTTAATGTGATTGTTACACTACCATCTACTCTTATATGTTTGCCAGCTGGGGTTTATAAAGTCTGAAGCACTACACTAACATAGGGTATTAGTGTGTGAGGTCAGTGAATGATGGCTGAAAGTGTAAAGAATGCTGAACTTTCCTAAAGGACCCCTAATAAGTGTATAAATTGGTGATCGATGAGACAACATACTATCCCATGAATTTGATGGACTGAACTCAGATTGGACTACTTGTCTCTTACAAGCCCTTAATATATTCCAATTTTACACCTGTTCTTTTCCTCGTCGTCTAAATCTTCCTACTAATTCATTTCTTATTTTCGCGGATATATTTCTAGCAAAACCAGAAAACAGTCCGTTGAAAGATGAAATAGCAAAAATGTAAATGTATTGTCGTTACATGGATAATACTTTTGCAGTGTACGATGAACGGTTACGTAGCGATTTGATTTTGAGCAACTTCGATAATGCTCACCCAGCAGTCCATTTCACCTACGAGGGAGAATATGACGACTCTCTGCAATTCCTCGACGTCCTGCTAGCGAGAAGAGAGGGTAGTTCCGTCAGAAGAACTATACTTAGAAAGCTAGAGATCAAAGCTCAGTGTACACACTTTCTTTAGCTCTGTGTACAAACGTAATCTGATCAGGCGCTTAGCATTTAGATCAAGGTCCATTTGTTCCGAAGACTGTGCAGAGAAAGAACTCCAGGTCATCCGAAACATTCTAAACGAGGACGGATATCTAGAGAAGTTCATTAAAGCCAACATAATTTACGATAGTCGTAAACAAGAACTGGCAACGATGGATAAAAGGCCCCTATTTTTACGTCCCCAATTCAAGGGAGATACTCCTGTGGAGATTCTATTCCAACGTTTAACCAGGGAGATAAAGAAAACTCTCTACTCTGCACATTTGTTCCCATCCTTCAGTAGTCGTCCAGTGTTCACCCATCAACTGAAAGATGTCCTACCTAACCCTAGCTCTTCTTCATACATATACCATTTCAACTGTTCCTGTGGTTCAAGTTACATAGGGAATAAGATTAGGCAGGTTTCTCAACAGACTCGAGAATATTCACCAGCTCAGTTCAGCAAGGGGGAAATTAAGCGCATAAAAAGCTCTATCCTGTCACACTAGATCGATACTGGACATCGCGTCGACGCCAAAACAGCTTTCAGAGTTATATACTGAATTTCGAAGTCGTTATCGCGTATAGTTCGCTTACGTCTCCCACACATAGCTGAAGCTGTTGCAATAAGATTGACTAGACCCAAACTTTGTATCCAAAAAGAATACGTCCAGACGCTGCTCCTTCTGTCGCTAAACTTGGATTAATGATTTTTCTGCTCATCAAGAGTGCTTCTTCTCCTTAACTCTCTTGGTTTTTTCTCTGCTGATTATTAGAGTTACTATTTTTAGTGTGATTTATACCCTTCATTCAAACATTCTCTCAATACTATCGAATTTTCCATCTATACTACTCGGACTTATTATCAGTGATATTATCTCTTTTCTCAATATATGCCTCCACCTGTTTCATTTCACACATTCGTTATTTCATTAGAAACCTCTCATTGCAGTCTTACCATCTCCTCTTTAATACATACCATTTTGTACTAGCCACTCACCTAACATCTTTTATAACCTTGAACTGACTTGCAGGTTTTTCCTACCGCATATTCTACAAATCTGTTATGACTAATCACCACCATTGTCTCCCATTTCACAAGATTTCGTAATCGATTTTAGCCTAGAATGTTTGTCAGACAAATACCATTTACTTTGATACCCCATAGCTAATCTCTTATTCTACGTTAAAAAATGCATCCACGGCATAACTGGCCATTATTGTAACGACAATAAATATTATATTTTATAATTGTAAGAAACTGAAGAGAAATTATAGAAAAGAATATTTTTCGTTCAGATTGACTTTTAATTCATGCATGATATGGGAATAGTTCATACTGTTAAATTTTGCGTTTGCCCAACTTTTTTCTTGTGCTGGTAAATTAGAATGAATTGTATTATGTCAAGTTAGATATCTGTTAATTTGAATGAATAGTAATGACAAAGAATTCATTTACTGTGATCTGCTTATTCTTTAATTACTTCATCATAATTCATCCTTTGATATCTTCCACTGGCTAATAATAAGCAGTAGGTACCTAAATAACAACACTTTTTCTGTATTCAGCGTTGCAAGCGATATACACGATGATACAGTTTTTCTTTAAAAACTTGCTAGGTGAATTAATTTGTTTGCAGTATCTAAATCTTTGTTCTTGAGAGTAGAGAAATTTATCTCACTATCAAGAAGAAAGGTAAATATATTTTCAAGGTCTCGCCATCAGTGAGACAGACATTAGGTGATAAACCAGTAAGTTAACAATCATAACTAATCTGAAATTACCCATAAAATAAATTTATCCAAAACTCATTTGTTTACTACTCTAGATGTCGCAAGAAAAATCTAAAACTAGTGAAGATAATGAAGAGCAAAGGAACCAGTACCTTGTTTATGCGCAAATGGAAAGTCTTAATGAGAAACTGAAATTGTTAAACTATGAGAAAGAATTTTGCAAGTAATTCTGTTTATGTAATAATAAACTACCTACAGGTTACGACACCAAAAACCCATCACACGGCATTATTTTGCAATCTGTACTAATCCTGGAGAACAATTCCACTGTTTCACTGCTCTGGCTGCTTGGCTTATTTCACAGGCAAATGGTAAAATTGACCAACCACAAGAATATGATGATCCAAATGCAACAATTTCAACTATTTTGGATGCTGTTAGGACTTTAGGATACACAGTAGAATTTCCACCCTTAAAATTAAAAAGTGGTTGTGGTGAATACTGTATTAATGTTCTCAATATGCTGGCTGATGCAAGTATCCAGGCTCGGAACATTAAACTGTTACCACCTAAATATCCGGAAGAGGATGCAGACGAACTCGATGTCCAGGATGATGAATCCTCGCAAACTGACGAAGAAACAGCCGAATGGACAGGAGCGTCTATCGGTAGTCGTTTTAAAAACGGTCTTTCAGACTTTGACAGATCAAGACCGTTTGATGAGCATGGTGACGATGATGCTGACGACGATGATGAGATAATGGATTTGAAAGGTAAATATCATAAATTGTTTTTACAATTATAAGGTTTAGAACCATCGTCAAGCAGCTTTGTGTCGTTAATAGCTTCGAAAGTCTGCATGTTACATTCATAATGATTTGAATGATTTCAAGTTGGTTTCAGCCAAAGGTAACATCAGCAATAGAACCATTGTTTCTTCCTAGTCCCAAACTCTTCAGTAAGGCATGGTGATAGGTGGATACAGCTTTAGAGTCGGAAATAGGTATAAATAGCCGAATACTTCTCTTTACTATTCACAGATTCTCTGGATGGTGAAATCTACCCAGAATATTGAACAAGTTTATTGATTACGTCACTACGCTTACTGCTTTTATGTATGCTGCACTGAATGCCATTCCTTCTACTTATATTTGAACAGGGACCGAAAGTATACTCAGAGGTTTCCAATGAAAACGCTAATCACAATCTGCCATAAACTGACTTTACTGATAGTATGTATAACAATCTGTTGTAGATATGTCAGAACTTAGATGATGTAGTCAGTAATACCATAGTGTTTCACTTCAGAACACCGATGAACAGAGGTATTCCTAACTCTTTGAACACATATTTATGCTAAATCTGATCAATTTAAAACTAGAATGAAATTAAAAAGTTGCAGCTTAACGGAAAACTAAAACTGTCTACTAACAAACGATATCTGCTGGCACCTTGAATTTACGCTGATCTCGTCATGCTCATAACCCAATATACTGAATTTTGTGCACATTTATGCTATGTTAAGATATCGAATATTTCATGAGAATTTCTAAATGCATATTCTGTGTGCCTAAAACTGGGGATATATAATTATATTTACCATATTACTTATGCTAAGTATATCAGACACCAGATTGTGGTAGAAACTACCCTAACCTATTATTGTACAGTTATATGAAGTGTTAAAAATTCAAATGTAGCTAATATCTTCGAACAATGAAAAACTCGTATTTCATTGCAAGTTAACTTTCAAAATACTAAAATGTGAGCATATACAGACCTTATGATGCATCAATTTTTAGCATATTACTTTTACATGAAATAAAGCTTTATACATTTACGGAGTCAGTAGAATTGGCAAAAATGATAGGGGCAATCCTTTTTCAAACTTCAAACGAATCTCCTAACAGTGTCCCCACACACGTTCTTTGGCTTGCAGAAAGCTGTCGTAAGACTGAAACGGTCTAAATACTTCAAAGTAAGTTAAGTTTAAACTTATTATTTAGCTTTTACTGTCCAGATTGTTAGCCTTTAAACCTTTACTGTAAATTGTAGGACTTAGTCTTCAGAGTGGTCAATCCCATAAAGCTGATTTGACTGAAACAAACGCAGAAATTAAAACTATAAGCAAATTGGATGAGAAAAAGCTGGATGGTTGTGGAGTCTCAGAATGTTATATAGATCCAGCAGACTGGCAATTAGAAGTTGAGAGAATATTACCACAACTCCGCGCCAATGTTCGCAATGACATAAAGGACTGGAGGACACATTTAGATCAGATGAAGCAACTAAAGGGAGAAATTGAGACTACCTTCCAGGATGCGAAGTCCCAACTAGTCAGACTACACAATGATCTAAACACTGCAGTAGATAAAATAAATAATCGGGAGAAGTACATGAACAATCAGGTGGAACCTTTGTTAGCTCAGTACAGAACTATGCAGGCAAGTTTTACACGATTTTCTAACACCATTTAGTACGCATATTCAGAAATAATTCTCTGAAGTAAAACTTGTTGCTCGGATGAATGTTTGTATTTAAGCGTTCTCATAGACAGACAGTTTAGAAGTCGACATTCCAGAAAGCATTTTAAAGCAGGCATGTCTAACCATCAAGTGACATCACTAGACAAGCCCTCGAGTGGAACCCGAAAGGGAGGCGGCGAGTTGGTCGTCCAAGGGTGACTTGAAGGAGGTCATGCGAGGAGGAGATGAAAGCATGTGGACAGACCTGGAGCAGGGTGAAAAAGTTGTCAGAAAACCGAAGGCAATGGAGGTGCGCAGCTGAAGCCCTATGTTCCTCTAGGAACTAAAGGATACAATAATATAATAATAATGTTTAACCAGGAGAAATAGATGAATTATGCACAAAATGAACAAATGAAAACTAATTTCACAGTGAACTTGCCAAAGATTTAAAAAGAATATTCATTAACTTCATGAATAATAAGAAGTGAAATAAAATATTCCTAATAAGTGTTTATTTCAACGGAAATCTCTTTCAGTAACTTACTAGAGAATAAGGCTTATCCCATATCACTGTCGTTGAATAAGGATCACGTACAATGCAGAGAAAAAAAATCAGAAAATTAAGTTCCAGTTCCAACTGTTCATTCAGAACTAGAAGTGGTGTATGCTGTTTTTCTCAGGGAGTTTTAGTGCATTCTATTTATCCGTGTTAATTACTAGTATGTTCAATAAACAGAGTGTGAATGAATCGTGAAAGGATTTTCTTCTCCATAGCACTCTTAAGCAGACAATATCAATCATATAAACTTGTCGTTATGATAGAAAATGTGATTGTAAATGATCTTATAAACATGAAGTAGGTAACTAATATCAGACTCAACAGATCCTTCAGAATATCATAGATCACAATGAACCACGAACAAGAAATACAAAACACATTTCAAAGTGAATACGTCCTCTTCAATACACTGGTAACACATGAACATGAATTCCAAATGCATGGCTTCCGTAATGTCTAAAAGTTGACCAAAATTAACCAAACGGATAGGAAACAATAAGTGCGATGAAGCTAAGTAGAAATATTGTAAGATATAGACAAAAAGTTGATGACTGTTGATTCATTGAGTTTCCACAACTAAATAACAAATAATTAATCAGGTAAAATCTAGTAATATTTACTCTAGAATAAGATTTATTCATAAGAAAAACTACAAAATATTTCCTTATTACAGGATAACTTGAGTGATATAACTGCCAAATACCGACAAGCCAGCGGCGGGATCACTACCAGGAGCCGCACACTTGCTGAGATCAGTGAAGAGTTAGAACGAGTCAAAGTGGAAATGGATGAAAAGGGTTCCAGTATGACAGACGGATCATCTGTAGTGCGTATTAAACAAGCGATTCAACGATTGAAGTCAGAGATTATTGCAATGGATATCAGGACTGGCGTTTTAGAGCACATTTTATTAAGAACACACCTACGAGTACGTGAAGATAGTCAGAAACCCTTATTTTCCAAAGTAATGGAATCGTCAAATGGAGGTGGTGCATTTGTATTTTAACAGAATCCTATCACCCCCAAACAGAATTTAATTTTCTTGCATATTAATGAAGTCCATCAATCTACTTTCCGTCTTTCTACCCTACCCATTCAATATGTAAACTTTGTAAAAATGTATCCTACAGTATAAATATAACTCAACACTTCATAAATGACTGTAAGCCACCTTTTTAAAAACCATGATTTACACGAACCGGGGAGTAGAATTACAGTGATTCCTAGGGAAACAACTAACTTGACTCTGACAATTTATGTAATATAAACTAAGAATATCTGTACGCAGTACTACGTGACATCCAGTTTCAACAAATCCACACTAAGATAAAAACTATCACAACGTATCCACAAATTGCCCCTATTAGCTATACTAAAGTCTGGTGCAATAATAATCTAAACATACGGATTCTATACAACTTAGTAAAATTTGTTCAAATTAATAAGATTTCGCGTCCAAGTATCGAAAATCCGACGAGCTATTTAGACAAAAGAGATCGAAGTTAGAAGTAATTACCATTCACTTAACGTAGAACACAACCTTAAGATTTCATTGATAAAATGAACTGCGAAAAATTTTCTTAAAGTCTAAGCAGGTAGATTAAATGAACATAATATTAAAAACGATGAAGTTCCATGAACACATGTAATGTTCAACCAAACCAGTTACATAACACAGTCAGTGAACACGAGATCTCGAAAAGGAAAAAAAAAGATTACAGACAAGCAGAGACTCTTTCTTGCAAAAGTCAGCTAGCCTGTATATTCGTCAGAAGGTTCTAGATGGTTCTGCAGCCTGTTGGAAATACTTTTAATGACGCGTCAAGTCTGTGAACCACATTGAAGCACTCACTTGATATTAGTGACGGAAATTTGGACCTTGTTCCTTGTGCTAAGCGCCATAGATCTTCCAGCTGAATTTAGAGTGGTGAACGCCTGTGTTGCTTTAATTAATTTAATTTTGATTAAAGCTTGATTCCACACCGTATTTTTGGTAAAAGTATGGAATTCTCAGCGTGGATATCGGTAGCCCAAATTTTGCAGGCCGACCATAGATATCAGGTGTGCGCCGCCGTAGGCTCGAACCCCGAACCATGTGCATGGTCGGCGAGAGTCCTAACCACTGTGCCACCGACGCTTTCCCGATCTGATTCTGCTTGGCTTTGACATCCACATCCCTGTCGCACGTATGTAGTTGAAACGACCTTTCCGATGAAGGTATGTAAGAGACGAATTCTTTTAGACCCCTCCATCTGTTGATGTTTGTTGCTGGTGATTGGATATTTTCATCACCTCTGTTTTCCCTAGGTTAACGTGAAATCCTGTCTCCTCTAACGCCTCTGCCAACTTGTTGACTTTCGCTTATATATCCTCAAGTTTGTGCGACATGACACACAGACCATCCGCGAGATCCAGAACGTCTACGGTAATTTGTCGGTGCACGGGATGCCCATCTTCTCACTCCTCACGGTCTGCCGTAACATTCGGTTCACCACAATCGGGAAGATCATTGGTGATAGTAGGCAGCTTCGTCCTACCTTCGTCCTATCTCCACTCCAAAGGCTTTGCTTATCCTTCCGTCATGAGTTACACGGCATGTGGCATTATATAACTGCTGAATGAAGTCCGTGAATGTTTGTGGCATAACACTCTGTAGTGTTGGAGTAGTCGCCATATTACCTCACTGCTGACGCTTTCAAAGGCATTTGAAGTAATAAAGTCAATATAGAGAGTTGACCGTCATTCTCCACTCTGTTATTGTGAGACCTGGCCACTGAGAGTGGAAGACATGAAAAGACTAGCTGTCTTTGATCATAGGTGCCTGCGCTCTATTTCCCGTGTAAAGTGGCATAATAAGGTGAGCAACATTGAAGTTAGGCGTCGAGTGCTAGGTAAACAGGGGAAATCAATCGACAAAGTCATGAAGTTACAAAGACTGAGATGGTTAGGACATGTGTTACGTATGCCAAGTCATCGCTTCCCTCGACGAGCAATGTTAGCGGATATAGGGTCAGGCGGGAAAAAAGCTAGCGGCGGTCAAACAAAAACTTGGCACCAGTCAATGAAATCCACAACAGTAAGTCTAAGCCAGCCACGTAGGAAGGTGTGGACTTCCAGGCTGGGGTCCTCGGGACGGTAAAAATCTATGGTTGGAAACAATTGGTGACATGGCTCAAAATCGTTCTCAGTGGCCGGCGCAGATGCATCCACTCCTTGTGACTTATGATCTCCACCAATGAAACTGTTTTGTTCTTCGTTATTACTCCTCCTTTGTCTCACACCTCTTATCACTGTCTCTATTATGCTTTTCTTGTACTTTCTTCTCTTGCTTCGCGTGCTACACGGAGTGTGGCGACTTGAACTTCCGCACATTTGTGCAAAGTTCTATGTCGAAAACAGACAGACAAGGAATTAAGAAGCTAGTAGATACGGTGATGAATGTGATTATGAAAAGTTCAACAGGACTACTGAAGCCATCACTAGGTGAGTCCGAATAGCTTGATTTGACACCTATAAACGAATAATGACAGCAAAATATATGATATTGTAAAGGTACATAAACCACGTTACACCAGTAAGACCAGTATTTGATCTTAGGAATACCCTTCATTGTGATGTATCTAAGCATTTAATGCGGCTAATCAATCCATACTAAATGAAAAAAGCCGAATGACAGTGAAATAGAAAATGATGGTAAAACGTTTAGTTTTCATTTGAACAATCCTTATATCAGCATAGCAATCAATATGGATCCACAAACAGTTAAGAAAGAACAAACTCATAATTCCTGTCTCATACGCAAATAACAGTTACCCATATAGGTAATTATTCTAGGTGAATGAAAAACTACAGAAAGCCAGTCGGTCAATCTGTCTTCTTTTGGTGAAGTCAAAAGCAAGTGTGGAATGTCAGCATCATATCTGAGGCTAGCGGTTCTTCTCGGCTAAGCTATCGTATGACAGTAGCTGGATAATCGTAGTTGACTGTGTGGATAGATTGAGAGTAGGGGAAAAGAGAGCGGATTGTATTGGTTGGAGTTATACTCGGTGTACTTGGTTTCCTCCTAACAGAATTATACTCTTGCAGAGGAGAGGACGTTGAGCTAGACGTTTCAGTGAATTTTCCGACAGCTAGGCTACGTATGGGAAGTCCACTCCTTGCATTCGTATACAGATCATAGAGTTCAGTAGGGCACCACTGGAAAGGTTATTAATATCTTCATTAAGAGAGGCATTGCTTGTATGCTTATCTTTACTATAGTGTGCAAGCAAGTGATATTAAGGGGGAATCCAGTGACAGAAGAAATATTAGATTTGAGATTAGTAGTTGCATTTAGTTGGATTTGAAATTGACCATGTGGGAGGTTTATTTTGGGATAAGATGCTGGTTTTGTGTCGGTGTTTATGGGACTTTCTGGAGGCCTAATAATAGAGGAAATTGATCAGGCTGGTGGAGTATATATTTACTATAACAGCGAGTTCCTTGAAACTTGCGCATATGGATACTGTCCGTCTGATGCTTTTGATTGGTGGTTGACAGGTATTCGTAAAAATTCGACGATAATCTTGAGGTTGAAATTAACACGTGCTTTGTATGTCTAAGGTCGTAGCCTCGATTTTAAATGACAATTCTAATTGTTTACTAAGTAAGCAAAGAGATTTCGGATATATATCGTGTGACTGACAGTTTCATGAAACAAGCTGGAGGTCGGTGGGTACGAATGTGATAAAATAACCGATGTTTTGCCCTGGAATTCTCTCCACACTAGTAGCCAAATTCTTGAGAGTTTTTCGATGTTCAGTTAACATTCGTTCAGCGGTAATCGCAAAGGATATACACAGAAGGATTTCAATTGACAGTTATTCTAAGGCTTGGCCAATTAGTTGAGTCTGAAGAGAAATGTCGGAATCCAGCTATCGCCCAGGAGGCAAGTTGGTTTTGCCCTCCTGGCTGTATAATCTAATTGTAAAGCCTTCATTGTGCTTTTAGACAACATCTCCATTCCTTAATTTAGTGTGAATTAATTAGAAATTGTGTTCGGAATTACTGTCCCGTGAGTCTAGCTGGATGTTACTAATCAGCATTTTGAAGGAAGGGCAAGCCACTCCTAATTCGCCAGCCTAATTTTCGCACAAGGAGGTTAAGTTAATGCAGATGGTGCCAATATTTCTATGGATGCCGAACTTCTCGACTTTAGGTGTGCTTTAGCTAAGGGTTTTTATTCACACCATTTAAGCAAGGTTAGATGGTTCTGGAATCAGAAAAATGGTAAGAGACTGAGTTCGTCACCACCATACGGACGAAAAATAGACATTGAAAGGTGACGAAGTCTTGTCATCATGGAATTCAGTAAAGGAAAGTGTGTCCTGAGATGAACGTTGAGGCCTACTCACCTTCTTAATTTGATAGACGAGATGCTGTCAACAACTAGATCATCCCATATGGTGTTGATCGACGGTATTAGCCTCTGATAACAGTGATA